CCTAATAATTGATCCCAGTCTTTCGATTCCTAATAAAATAATAAATATGTTTATTTTTGTGTTGCAATCAAAATATAGCTAGCAATGTAGCATCAATTTTTTTTTTCTTTGTAATTAGCATCAAATTTCATTCTTTTTGAAAAAAACTATATCTTTTATCTTGACAATTATAACTACTATATGCAATAAGGAAAGCTTTTGTCCTATTACATGTGCCTATCTCAAAAGCTGATGTGTAAGAAACATGCACTTCAACAAGCCATGCAAATTGAAATGTGTCAACCCCTTTCACTAATATGCTTTCTTTACAGTATGAAGCCAAATGTTATTTTTCGATGAAAACATAAAAATAGCAATTCAAGTGAAGTGTAGATTGTACATAGTCGACTCTATCTACCTGGTTCTTATCTCAATCAATATATCCTCAAAATATTAACTAAAACATTTTCCAAACAAAGTCCCTATAAATAGCTTCACTTAAGAGCAAACAGAGAACCACAACAAAAAAATAAGAAAGATAAAAGAAAATGGCTCGAGTCTCAGCTCTTCTCTCGTTTTCCTTAACACTTTTGGTCTTTCTCCATGGCTACACAGCTCAACAATCTCAACAAACTCAGCAAGCTCAGTTTCCAAACGAGTGTCAGCTCGACCAGCTCAATGCGCTCGAGCCGTCACACGTACTCAAGTCCGAGGCTGGTCGCATCGAGGTTTGGGACCACCATGCTCCTCAGCTACGTTGCTCTGGAGTCTCTTTCGTACGTTACATCCTTGAAGAAAAGGGCCTTTACTTGCCTTCTTACTTGAACACTGCTAAGCTCTCCTTCGTCGCTAGCGGTAAGTTCAATTCTTTCTATATATGTTAGTTTGTGTTTACTCGTTTTCTCTAAACCGAACATTTGAAGTTTTTTTGGGGTTTCAATATTTTTCATGCTGCTTAAATAAACCTAATAAGGTAGTATAATATTCTGTTGTTTGGTCCGTTACATTATAGGACGAGGTCTTATGGGGAGAGTGATCCCGGGATGTGCCGAGACATTCCAAGACTCGTCAGTGTTCCAACCACGTGGTGGCAGCCAGTACGGAGAAGGTCAGGAAGGTCAACAGGGCCAAGGTCGCCAAGGCCGAGGTCAACAAGGCCAGGGTCAACAGGGTCAGGGACAACATGGCCAGGGACAACAGGGCCAGGGCCAGAGACAACAAGGCCAAGGATTCCGTGACATGCACCAGAAAGTAGAGCACATAAGGAGCGGAGACACCATCGCCACACAACCCGGTGTAGCCCAGTGGTTCTACAACGAGGGACAGCAACCACTTATCATTGTCGCTGTTATGGATTTAGCTAGCCACCAGAACCAGCTCGACCGCAACCCAAGGGTAATATATATATGTATAATATAACAACCAAAAAATCATATTAAAAGCTTTTGAAATTTGTTACAAGAAATTAATAAAACGTGTGTACGTGCGTCTCTCTTTCAAGCCATTTTACTTAGCTGGAAACAACCAGCAAGGCCAGGAATGGATAAGAGGACGAGAGCAACAGCCACAGAACAACATCCTTAGTGGCTTTGCACCAGAGGTTCTTGCTCAAGCTTTCAAGATTGATGTTCAGACAGCCCAACAGCTTCAGAACCAGCAAGACAACCGTGGAAACATTGTCCGAGTCCAAGGTCAGTTCGGTGTCATTAGACCACCTTTGAGGAGACAGAGACCGCAGGAGGANGAAGAAGAAGGTACTAACGGTTTAGAGGAGACGGTATGCAGCCAGAGAGTCACCGATAACCTCGATGACCCATCACGTGCTGACGTGTACAAGCCACAGCTCGGTTACATCAGCACTCTTAACAGTTTCGATCTTCCCATCCTCCGCCAGATCNGTCTCTCAGCCCTCCGTGGTTCGATCCGTCAAGTAAGTATATAGGAAAATTCTCTATTTAATAATTTATTTAAAGAATATGTGCATTTGAGTGTGAGTGAACATTTTGAACATGACTCTTGAAACGTGCGTGTATATGGGTGCAGAACGCAATGGTCCTACCACAGTGGAACGCAAACGCAAACGCAATTCTCTACGTGACAAACGGAGAAGCCCAAATCCAGGTGGTTAACGACAACGGTAACAGAGTGTTCGACGGACAACTCTCTCAAGGACAGCTATTGGTTTTACCTCAAGGTTTCGCGGTGGTGAAACGCGCAACAAGCGATCAGTTCCAGTGGATCGAGTTCAAGACAAACGCAAACGCACAGATCAACACTCTTGCGGGACGTACATCGGTCTTGAGAGGTTTACCACTAGAGGTCATAACCAATGGGTTCCAAGTCTCACTCGAGGAAGCAAGGAAAATCAAGTTCAACACACTCGAGACCACTTTGACTCACAGTAGTGGTCCTGTTAGCCACGGTAGGCCAAGGGTAGCTGTTGCTTGAGAGCTTTAAAGCGCGGAAATAATACGAGTCTCTTCTACAAACAAAGTTAAAATAGCAGTG